TCGAAATTCAACAATTCGTTTGAGCTCTAGTATTTTTTCCCATGATATTCGATCTTATTCCCGCTCGCCATCTTGATCTCAGCTCGATCGGGTACCTTTTACTGCCAAAAAGCAGGCAGGCGGGATCGGCCGTTTCGAGTCATCTTGACACGCGATGACGGTTTTCTGAACATACCTCGAGCTTTAGGACAGCTACAGAGCTGGTAAGCACAGCTAATCGATGTAGAATGATTAGGCGCGTTCGCCTGTTGAACCCAGAGGTCTGAACTCGGTCTGCTAGCCGAGCTAGGTGCGCAAACCTATTCTTATTATTCGAGTCATCTTGACAGACGCTCTCGGTTTTCTGTACTTAACTCGAGCTTTAGGACAGCTAAAGAGCTAATACGTACAGAATCTGATTCAGAATCATCAGTGGCCGTTGTCTGTTGAATCCAGAGCTCTGAACTCGGTCTGCTGCCCGATCCAAAATCGCGAAACGATTCGTATTGTTCGAGTCATCTTAAGAGATGCTGTCGGTTCTCTGCACTTAACTCGGGCTGTAAGGGGACTGCAGGGCTGGTAATCACAGCAATCGATTCGGAGACATCAGGCGCGTCCGCCTTTCGAATCCAGAGCTCTGAACTCTGTCTGCTGCCCGAACAAGTCCGCGAAACTATTCCTATTATTCGAGTCTCCCTGAGAGGTGCTGTCGGTTTCCTGCACTTAGCTCGGGCTGTAGGGGGGGCTGCAGGGCTGGTAATAACAGGAATCGATTCAGAGACATCAGACGCGTCCGCCTGTCGTATGGAGAGGTCTGAACTCGGTCTGATACTCGAGCTAGGTTTGCCAAACTATTCGTATTGTTCGAGTCATCTTGAGAGATGCTGTCGATTTACGCACGTAACTCGGGCTGTAGGAGAGCTACAGAGCTCGTACAGAAGACAATCCAGAAGCATCGGGGGCGTTCGGCTGTTGCATCCGAGAGGTCTGAAATTGCTTGGGCTGAAACTATTTTTTCTGTGTAATTTTCTTCGACATTATATGTTGTCAGGAAGCTCTACGAGTCCCCCGGCGGTAACAAAGGTTGACGGTTTACCGCCGGCGCCCAGTTTCCGGTATCTTCTCTGTGCTCTCCGGGTTTCGGATGCTACCAAGTTATGATCGGATTTAGCTTGTGGAGGTGATGTGGGACAAATGTATTCGGACGGGAGGGCCTGAGGGCCCATTGGCTTTCAATCTCATTGTTGCCGCCATGTGGAGTTCCACGATTCGAGAATGGAACGTGCTAGGGCTAGATTATCGTATTGAGTTTGCTACAGGCTCGACTAGCTCTGTTTCGGTTATTACTATCTTTCTCTCGGCGGACAACTGTTATGTTCTGGCTCGGAGTCGGAAGGAACTCACGCGCGTTGCACGGTCTAACTACACACTTACATGACTATGGTATGAGATGGAAGCAGTCCAGTATATTGTACATGCTGTTCGGTGCTGCTCCTCCGCGTGATGCGGAAGGGGAAATGGTACGAACTGCTCATCTTGTTCTCTCGATTGGGTCGGAGGATTCGGGAATGTATCGATTCAGAAGAGTGAAGGAGATGGAGGTGCTTGGGCCTCATATTTGTTCTGAATTAGATGTAAATGAGCCTCCAGATCTGGATGCTAGTAGTGACTCTGCTCGTAGGGCGTTCTGGGGCCAGGCGTCCTTCTTCCGCTCCACGGCCATTCCGTTGAAAGGTAAGTACGAGAGGTATACGGTCGACTCTAGTTTATTGAGTGCCCTTCATATGTTTGAGGGGAAGTGCCTGGATGTCATGTCTCGTTGTGTACGGAGAGAGAAGGAAAGTTATCAGGAGTGAGATACAAGGAGGTATGAACGTGCGAGACAGAAGTTCCACGATGCACATTATGGGCAATCGACGTCCACGACTTTGCCCAGAGGTTGATCACAGATCAGGAGGCGCTGGGGAACTCGACAAGAGCTTGGAGAGATTCTCGTTTCTCATGCCTGGCGTAACTCGAAGAGCTTCCCTTAGCAAGTTGTTGCTGGAAGCTTTAGAGTAATACCTCGTAGAGCTCTTCGGCGTCGATGAGCTAGAGGAATTCCGGCGCGGGGTGCAGCTAGTACCTCGTAGAGCTCTTCGTTATCGATTAGCTAGAGGAATTCCGGCGCGGGGTGGAGCTAGTTGGTCGACCCGACCAAAAGAGACAATGTGACAACATGACTCGTAGAGCTTCCCTAAGCTAGTTGCTGGAAGCTTAAGTTTCCGGCGCGCTGGAGAGCTAGTTGGCAGGAAAAATATCGACGGAACTTTTGATGACTTAACTCCTAGAGCTACTTTTTGCAAGTTATTGCTGAAAGCTTGAGAGTAATTCCGGGGCGCTGGCGAGCTAGTTGGCAAGAAAAATCTCGACGGACATTTTGAGGAATTTTGGTCGGTTGAAAATTTTGTTCTCGAAATTCAACAATTCGGAAGAGCTCTAGTATGTTTCCCCGTGATATTCGATCTTATTCCCGCTCGCC